GTTTTAAACCAACCTTTTTTGTTTTTGATGCTAGTGTTTATGCCATTTTGAAGAAGTAGCACTGCTACCTGACTGCGGCCACGTAATGCTGACAAATGAAGAGCTGTATTACCAAACTGATCACAGCAATTTATGGATAAGGACGATGGGGACTTCAACTGAAAAATTCCATTAAATTTGATATATGTTTTGCCAAACTTTTAGCAGGGCAAAGCCAGAAAATACTATTTTCTATACAAGGATCCTGTCTACTAGCCGGTCTTCAGTCAAACTTCTTGCCATTGATCTTTCCTAGATCGTCTATCAGTATTAACAGCAGGGTTAAATCAAATAATAAAATGCACCGACCAGCTTTTGAACAGTCTCCAAATGTCCTAAAGATGCTGCTTCTAAAAATGATCTTTGGATTTTTCCTTGCTCATGACTTTCAGCAGCTGAAAACAAAAAATAAAATTGGAAAAATAGATCTGAAACATTAATTTTGACATATTTGATTGACATGTTTTGACTTATTTGATGGGCATGTTTTGACTTATTTGATTGACATGTTTTGTCTTATTTGATAGGCATGTTTTGATTTATTTGATTGATATATTTTGACTTATTTGATTGACATGTTTTGATATATTTGATTGACATGTTTTGACTTATTTGATAGGCATGTTTTGACTTATTTGATTGACATGTTTTGACTTATCTGATAGGCATGTTTTGACTTATTTGATTGACATGTTATGTCTTATTTGATAGGCATGTTTTGATTTATTTGATTGATATATTTTGACTTATTTGATTGACATGTTTTGACTTATTTGATAGGCATGTTTTGACTTATTTGATTTATTTGATTGACATGTTTTGTCTTATTTGATGGGCATGTTTTGACTTATTTGATTGACATGTTTTGTCTTATTTGATAGGCATGTTTTGATTTATTTGATTGATATATTTTGACTTATTTGATTGACATGTTTTGATTTATTTGATCGACATCTTTTGACTTATTTGATTGAAATGTTTTGACTTATTTGATTGAAATGTTTTGACTTATTGATTTATTTGATTGACATGTTTTGACTTATTTGATCGACATGTTTTGACTTATTTGATTGACATATCTTGACTTATTTGATTGACATGTTTTGACATATTTGATGGACATGTTTTGACTTATTCAATGCATATAAATAACTCTGTGTATCACCTTCTATAAGTCTTCTGATATCTGGATCTCTTGCCAGTTGCTTTGGAACATGACCCTCTGAATTAACCACAGCAATATCTGCTCCATGCTGCAGTAACAGGGTTACCACTTCCTGCAAAATTCAAAAATCTGGATTCAGATCCTCGGAAAATCTGGTTAAAGGAGGGATGTGTGCCCAGCTACATAAAAACTGGTATTGTGACTAAAAATGTCTAGTGGACTAGCTAATATAATATAAAAGGGCACTCTTTTACTGCAAGACCTGTTGTGTTTTCTTGGACCCCAGGGGATCAAGGGTATAACAGTCTAGTGGACTAGAGGATATAATATAAAAGGGCAGTCCTTACCTGCCGACCAGTATAGGCTGCTCTATGGAGGGGAGTATCTCCTAGGCTATTCACCACATTCACATCAGCTCCCCTCTAAATATAAAAACAAAGAATTACATCCATATCAGTCAAATATCCCAAAACTATTAATAAATAAAGTGATGCCAAGATTCCCAGATCCCTTGAAAAAGAAGTTCTTAAACCAGTTAGTTGTTCCTTTACTATCCCTAGCATAATCTTAATCTTTTTACTATTCCTTATGTCAAGGAATATACAATATTCCGTCCGTAGCAAGCTTGGCATCATTTATTATAAAATTCAAACCACTAGACATTTTTTAACATGTCATCTCTTAGATCTACATCACTCACACGGATTTGGTTGAAGAAGGTACTATCTCTACCCACCAAAATAAGTTCAAATCAATAACACAGTGCTCACCTCCAATAAAAATCTGATGACATCCAGATGACCAAAATAAGCTCCTAGATGTAGAGCTGTCCATCCTCGATTGGATTTTTTGCTGCCTGGAAAATTTACAAAGTTGATGATAGACTCTTTATTTGGCACATACACATAAGAGACCAAACATCAGGGATAAACATTTTGACAGGTAAAACTCTACTCATCAAAGATCCAGAAAAATATCAATAGTTCTTCTATATTTCTTCAAAGACTGCTCGCTGTTTTGACATATTTGATTGACATGTTTTGACTTCATGTTTTGACTTATTTGATGGATATGTTTTGATTTATTTGATGGATACATTTTGACTTATTTGATTGACATGTTTTGACTTATTTGATGGACATGTTTTGATTTATTTGATGGATACATTTTGACTTATTTGATTGACATGTTTTGACTTATTTGATGGACATGTTTTGACTTATTTGATTGACATGTTTTGATTTATTTGATGGATACATTTTGACTTATTTGAATGACATGTTTTGACTTATTTGATGGACATGTTTTGACTTATTAAATTGAAATGTTTTGACTTATTTGATTGACATCTTTTGACTTATTTGATTGATATATTTTGATTTAAAGACCACAATTCTGATCCCTACCTTGGCAATTAATATCAAATTTAGCACCAACGCTGGTTTGTGCCAGAATGACTTCAACCGTGTCAATGTCACCATTTCTTGCAGCGTGCAGGAACTCTTCTTCTAAGCAGGAGAATTCTGGTATGAAATCTTCATCTGATGACATCATAACTACTCAGGTGATAATACAAGTTTATCAAGTCATTTTAACTTATGCCTGGACCTGGTCCCTAACTTCACTTCAGATTCCTGAAAGGAAAAATCAAATCAGGGATTATTAGATGATTTGGGCCTAATTTAATTCTATTTAATGCCTGAAATAATCATCAAACACCCAATATAGCCTAGGCCTAGGGACTACCTACTGTAATTAAACCCAACATTTAAACATTTCCATCAAATCAATTGCAACTCTGCAATATCGCCACGCTACGGTACTCTACAGTAGGCCTTCAGGGTTGGCTAAGTGAGTCGGAATCGAATAGATGTTACAAGTGGCTATTTTTGTTAGGAATAATAGAATGATACTAACCTCTGCCCCAGTTCTGGAACAGAATAGCCCCCACCCAGCTACTTCTGAAAACTTTACCTCTCAGTCTCAAATAATCTTGGTTATAATAGTTATATAGATATTGTAAGCCATATAAACTAGAACTTTGACAATGTGTAGGCTACTCCAGCTGAGCTTCTTTCAGTTATATCTATAAACCATACAACACTTGACATTCCCGTGAACAGAAAACAAACTTTTTAAAAAGTTGCTCTACTGAAATCAGCTGACTTCTACTTTCGATTTATTTCAATACATTGCTTA